CAGGGTCACTTTTCACTTTTTTTCCAGTACTTCTAAGCTTCGAAATTACTGGGTTATCACGCAAGCTCGAAACTGAGCCAGGAACTCTTTATACACCTTCTTTCTATGAAACTGTCGTCTACCATCACCAGCAAAGTCTCAAGAAGATATCATGATCACGACCCTGAATACGGTAAAGAATCGACAACCTTTGAGAAATTTCCGCGCCCTCCAAGCGACAGTTCGCATGGAAAATCATGAAATTTCTTTGGGAACAGAATGATTTGGCGGTGATGGGAATTTCGATGCTCGATGTCTGTACAATTTCTCAAGAAAGTAGAAAATAAAGAGCAGGTTCCGCCTTCTTTATTAACACCGCTGAATCCTCAGTCCTTCCCGATATAAAGGACGAAAATCGTTTTGAAAAGTGACTCAAAATCGATTTTGCCCATCGCTAATCCAGAGATCATCCGCTAATGATTTGCCCGGCTATCCGCCTTGTTCACAGCTTCATTTGCATAAATCAAAAGGTGGATGGAAATCGGCTGCCAACGGACACCCACATATCGCCCCGAGGGCCTTGAATCCGACGGGGTAAGCCAATGCGCGAACGCATGACCCTCACTTCAGGCCCCTAGAGAACAATATATCATCGGCAAGAACGAAGAGTGAATACTAACGGAACCATCCACGAAAACTCGTCTTGACGTAATGTATTAGACCAAGTGGATAGATGAGCTTGAGAACGAGAGATGTGCTACGGCATACTAAAAAACCTTCCGCTAAACTTGGAATAACTGGAGAAAAAGTCTGCAGCAACCCATGCCAAGCAAATCCAATCACTATAACCCATTCAATTATTGCACTGCTTGAATAAATGGAAAACGTTCCGATGGAACCTTAACGAGTTCGTTCGTTCGCTGCAGCCATGAGATAGGATACTGTATGAAAACCCGAGAAAGTGACCTTTTCTACGAATTATGGTATCGCTCACCTGTCAAGAATTGGTTGAGCACAGCCGGCGCACTCGTTCATGCCTCTGCGTCGAAAGGAAGGGGCGTGGCTCACCGCCATAGGACTACGGTACCTTGCCCTAGTGACGGTGGGCGGGACATAGGAAAGGCCTTCATTCGGGCATGAATAGGGCTGTTCATGGGGCTGATTGGTAGGGTGTTATAAAGGCAAGAGGAGCATAAAATGTGGTCTTCAAGGACTGATCGAGGCGAGCTCCTGCAGGCGTTAGTCAACAGACGTGTTCATTATAGGACTGACAGAGGGTCAAATGGAAAACTTTTATTACGCAAAGCAATTACCAATGGAGAATGCATAGTGCGGCGGAATGGGAATGACGGCGGCACGTGTCCACATGAAGGGAAATTACTGAAAGGGCACAAAACGACGAGAACGGGAGCATTTCCAGACGGTTAGAAGAAATGATGGTTGAAAACCGTAACTTCCTTTCGCGACCTTACCCATCCCTCTATCAGCAGAGGACTCATTTGAGCTGCATTAACTTCCAAACTCCTAATCGATAATTGAGCATGAATATGAGTAGAAGTTCTGAAACTCGTAGAAGTGCATCTATGAAGAGATCACGTCGAACGTTGAGAATCTCCCGGAGGGAGCCGTGTTTAGTCGCTGGAGAGACGGGGTCGCATTTGGCATGAGAAAAAAGGTTTTTTTATTGCTGATTCTTCCTGTTTCACGGGCGTTATCTACGTCGTTGGGAGAATTTCTAAGGGATCGTATTTGCTCGTCGTTGGGAAGGGGGACCGTATCGTGGAAGAAATTGGCTGCTTTTGAAATTTTTTTCGGTTCTTTACTGTTCACGGTTTTTCCCGTTTCACATGTGATACATAGGTCGCCTCCTCGGTTCGACAGGAATGTTATTGAGAAATATCCGGTTACAAGGCACACCCTCGTTAGTTATTCCTCAACAGAAGGCTCGTATTTGGTCGCTGGGATGAGGGGGAACGGTCGTGTCTGGTGTGAGAAAAACTTTGTTTGATAGCTGATTCTCTTGCAGAGACACTCAGAGCCAGGGGGCCGTACTGACCTTCTAAGAGAGGTCGTTAATATTTTCGGGGCTTTTTTTCGGTTTTATACAGAGTAGTATACACCCCCTCGACAATTCGATGAGTAGGGAGGTCGTATCATGCCACTTCTCAAGGGGGCGGGAGATCGTACGACT